CCCATGGTATTAAACCTTTCAAAAAATAGTACCTATAGTCTAAATGCATGGAAATAGTTAGTTCGATTGTTAGTTGACCGCCAAAAAATAAATATGACAATTTTTTTGACCAATTAGGTGAGGGTAAAATTGTCTATTCCAATTTAACTTAAAATAGTTGAAATAATTAAATAAGAAACAATAAAAAATTCTCTTGTCTTTCCCCCATTTTCCACCAGTCCCTACCAACCACAACCACAACCACAACCACAACCAAAAACCAAATCCACCTCCCGCTCAAACAAATTTGGCACCACCATCGCCCCCCGAGGCATAACCCAGTGGTGCAAAGGACAGGAGTGAGGTAGTTTCAACTGAGCTGACAGTTGCAATGTGAGGGTTCAATTCATACCTCTTACAAGGTATGAAATTGGACTCTTTGTGGGCACCAGTATGACAGCTCTTGTACCCTAGCCTACTAAGGCACATCTCTCGATTTACCTCATCCACAATACTCTAGAGACGGGGTTCAACCTTTTTTTTTTTTTTTAATCTAGCGCCACCATCTTTTTCCCTATCCCTCCATTTTCGCCACCACACGCTGCCAATGACATAGCCATGGACTCGTCATTATCTTCTGACCCTCACAACAAATCTAAACCTTAAAATCAGTTATAGAACATACGCATAGATGCACGAACTCAAAATCTCAAGACCTATAAAAGGAATCGAATTCTGAAATTTATCTATTTTAACGATTTCAGGACAAGCTCAAACCAATTATTTTGAATAGACCCAAATACTCTGAATGGCTAGAGCTATAGACCCAATCAGCCTAAAAGAAGATAAAGTAGTAGAGGCAGAGGAGGTTGACCCTAATGGGCTTTAATAGATGGGAACTACAAACGCGAATAGTAAGTAGTGTGACGGAGGAGAAGAATGAAGGTTTGTGGAAGGGATGCGATTCTAGGCTTTTTTTTTTGGTGTCAGTGACATTAGAGATGGCAGTGGAAGGGAGCGATTGCTCTTTGGGTTTGGATTTGAATTTGGATTTGTTTTCATTAAAAAATATAAAGGTACTTTTTTATCATTTTAAATTTAGTCAAAATTATGGCCAATATCAATTTTCTGATCAATTAACAATCAAGTTAATGGTTTCTATCCATCGGACTTTAGGTGCTAATTTTTGAAAGATTTGATACCGTGGATGTCTCAAAGTAAAAAAGAAATTGGGTCAAGTATGCATAAAGTAGAATGTTTGATACCTGATTGCAATTTTTCCTAAAATCTAACATTCATTAATAAACAATTTACTTGAAAGGAGGTACCCTTTTAAGCTGCCTAACGTACCTGTAAAAGAACAATATATAAATCATTGATTTTGAATTAGCCTATTTTTACAATTTTTGTTAACAATTATGGTTGACAATTTTGGTATTGTCAAAATTCAGACAATTGATTTTTAAAATAAGTTTTGAAATGGATGAATATAATATTATCAAGTGTGAAGTGTTAATTAAGATTGTCAAATAAAGAGTTTGTTTGGGAGAGATTTTTGGGGGAAAAATTGATTTTGTGATATGATGGGAAATGTGTGGTTAAAAAAAAAAGAAAAAATTATTGATGTAATGGAAAATATTATTTTATTGAAGAATGTGTGGTTGAAAATGAGAATTGAATTACTGTAATAAAAAATTTAATTCCTCCCAAATATGGCCAAAATCGTACAAGTAGCGTGATTCATGATTTTTTGTTGACGAATGACCAAAAACCAAAC